AGTTTGTCATCGGAATAAATCACCATTTTTTTTTTTTTTTTTTTTTTTTTTTTTTACATACCAGACTCCCCCAATATCAAACAAACCTTTTTTTGGGGGGAAGGCAGAATTACAGCCACGCAAAGAAAAGTCAGAACCTAATCTTCAGCTCACTTTTCTGTTCAGGCAGAAGTTAGTTTTAACCCTTTCACAAATGAACTGCAGCAGCTCTTGGCACATTAATCCCTGCATATTAGTTCTTATTTTAAAGTCCATTTAGTTAAAAATAGCTCCCTATTCTTTCCAAAATGTTGGTTAATAGTAATTATGAAAACCTCGATATTCGTGGATATATGTATCCAATTAATTTTTAGTCTTTTTTTCTTGGCCTCAATAACTTCAGGTAGCAGTAAATTTCCTGGTTTAATTATATGATATAAACACATATTTCCTTTATCAAATTGGAATTTCCTTCTTAATTTGATTGAATATCACTTTGTTTTTGTTACGTGATAGGTAGATCAAAAGTTACTAATTTACCATCTTTTTATCATTTATTGCTTTTATATCATTGCTCTTATCTCCTTGCTGAGTTAACCCATTCCAATATTTTCAATCTCTCCTTAACTAGAGTTTTTTCAGAGCTTTGATTTTCTTGTCACCCTGCCCCAAATTACGCACAATTCTGCTGTGCTTTTTTTGAGATGAGGTAACTGCATTCCATTCTCTATGCCTACTAGAATATTGTTTGCTTCTTTTTAAAAGACAGTTGCACACTGAGCAATGGTACTCATTGAGCTGTGTCAATGAAATTGCATAAAAAATGGTGTGCCCAGTATAAATTAGTTCACCTGAGGAGGTGCACTAACTTAGATCAAGATTGGTTTAACTCAGTGTGGGAAAGGGTTAACCCGATCTCCCGAATGCCTGCAGCTGTTTGCAGCACAGCCCTGGGGCTGAGAAAACCTAGCCACTCACCCCAGCTCCAGGGCTACACTGTTCCCACCCCCATGATCCCAAAAGGCTATTTTTAGCCCCTTGAATCTGCTCCCATTGACTTGCCAACTCCCCCTCAACCCACCGCAGACCTGTCAGCCCTCCCTGATCCTGCCTACTACTCCTTTTACCATGAGTTACTTGCAAATGGTTGCATGTGTCATTCCCAGT